TCACTGATTTTTTTTTTTTTTTTTTATTGTAGTTTTCACTTTTTAATATAAATACTTTTGGTAGGCTTGGTTATTGTCATTTCAAGCTTGACAAACCTTGAACCATTTGATTTTATTCACTTTTCCTTATTTGAAAACCGAATCGGTTCCAACTAGAACCAATGTTGGTTTTGCTTGGTTTTTTCTTTCACCACAAGTACAATCAACATCTTTCAACAGTTAAGTTGTTTTGGAGCACAAGCTATGGGAAAATATCTAGTAGCTTTATATTAGTCTTTTCATTCATTTTTCTTAAATTTTTTTGAGTGCCCAGGGACTACTTGCACGCTCTTTTAACTACTAGCAATGAGAAAAGGAATGAAAATATACTCAGCACACAAACTTTGCCTTATAGCTGTTAGTGTATGCTTTACGGATGTCAAATCATGGTTCATATCGTTAGTATTGATCATAAATTATCAGCTCATCGCTTTAGTGGTAGAAAGTTGATATATAGCCTTATGTTTGCTACTTCAGGCATACCAATGTTCTATTTTTTCTTTCTATTCTATTGTTTGTGTCTGGATTTGTATGCCATGGTTTCTCATTTTTATGCATTGTTTTTCTCTTCGTAATGTTTGATTAACATATTTGTTATTTCAATTTTGTCAGGTTTGTATTTGATGCCATGCATGCAGTAACTGGTGCTTATGCAGAACCAATTTTTGTGGACAAGTTAGGAGCCCGTTTGGTATGATGCTACGTACCAACATCTATTTTAGCCAGATGAAAAAAAAATATATATATTTGAGATTCCAGTAATTAAGGTGTACCATTGCTAACAATTTCAAAATAAATTTCTCCTTTTTCTTGTTGGTTTTTCATTTTTTAAAAAAATGTTTGATAGTCAAATTAAAGTTTTTAAAGTTTTGATTCACGAAGTACTCCTCACAGATAGTTACATTACTCTTGACAGATTTTTCTAACTTGGTTTTCTCTCTCTAACAAATCTCTGTTAACTTGTTTTCTCATTTCTTCCTCTTTTAACTTTTACTTCCCTTATCTAACGTACCTTTTCTTTCTCTTATCTCTCTGATCTCTCTCTCTTTCTTGTAATTTATAAATATCAATATAATGATTAAACTTTTGAAAGCTATACCTTTTAAATGTAAAAGACAATATATTATTTTTATTATTAAATAGCAAGATTATAATTTTATAATTATTGTATAGTTGATAACAAATCATTAATTAAGAATTTTTGGTTGCCTTATTTTGGAAAATCATAAAACATTATTAAACATGTTTTTTATTTTTTTATTCTTCCAATTAAAAAGTTGAAATAGTTATCAAATATGTTTTTTTTTTTAATTAAAACAGAAATGAAATATATATAATAGACTAAAACAAACTTTCATTGAGAAAAAGATGCAAAGTTCATACAAAAATACTCAAATGTTTGCAATCCTCCCATAGGATTCAATTTTGAATGGAGTGCCTCTAGAAGATTTTGGGCATGGACATCCAGATCCTAACCTTACGTAAGTTTTTAAAGATTCCCGGCTGTAAAGTTTGCTATTGGCTTGGAGAAATACTAAATATTTGTAATGTTCAATAGGTATGCGAAGGATTTGGTCAACATTTTGTTCAGTGAAGATGGACCTGATTTTGGTGCTGCTAGCGATGGTATTTCATCTAATACTGGACCTATATTTTGAAAGGTTGCATTCATGGTTTGAAAGCATTTAATGAGTTAGAGGATAATATCATTTGTATCCTTCCACTTTCATTTCTTAAGTACCCTAGACAGACTTCATGGATCTCATCAGAGTTTACTGTGGTATTCAGGATAAATATCAACAAAAGCATTACATATTTAGTAGTGGTGGAGGCACAAGATGACATGAGTTCTTGAGATAAGAGGCAACAAAAACTTCTTTACCCAAAAGGTTTTGGAATATGCAAAGTGAAAATTAGTGATCAAGCTACTTCAAGAAGGTGGCAATTTTTTCGTTTAGCCATGCCATTTTGTTGGGGTGTGTTGGTACAAGAATTTTGGTGTGAAACTTGATGAGGTTGAAGGTTTGTAGGAGGGTAGGGTTGAAGAAATCTCGAGCATTATTTGTTTTAAGCATTTCTAGTGATCAAGCTTTCTAGAAGTTTTTATAAGCATTTCATGGCGATTAATTAGAGGTAGGTGAGTGTGAGAAGAGCTTTTCTCTGAAAGTAGTTAGAAGAATTAGAGTTCTACAAAGTTCTAGTTGCTGTCAATTTTTCTCTGAGCAATGCCATTTTGTTGAGGGTGGTATTAAAGTAGTCTTCGGGATTACTAGAGTGGAGAATTTGAATTTGAGGACTAAAGAGGCTGTGGATCATGGTATAAGGATTTTGTTACCAATTTTATGTGTTGGACTAGTTTAATTATTTAATTATTTATTATTATTTTTTTTTCCTGGATGGATGTGGAGTACTAATTTTAGTTTATCTCTTCATCATATCAAATTAGCCTAAGGCATTCATTTGTGAACCCATGCTTATTCTTCAATCAATTCTTTGCCAACATCCTTGCACCAGTCGCCTAAACAAAACATCTGTATGTGGAGACATTTTCTAAACTTCGTTTTGTAATTGTCCAATTATTATTTACCCTCATTCGTAAAATTCAAATAATATTTTATGATGGTATCTCTTGCAGATTCTTCCCATTAACACATGTTAGTTAATGCAGTAATGGATGCTTAGCCTGCAAATGTAATAACAGATGATTACATTTCTTTTTCCATCCTTCTGCAGGAGATGGTGATAGAAACATGATATTGGGTAAGGGTTTTTTTGTTACTCCTTCAGATTCTGTTGCAATTATTGCAGCTAATGCACAGGAAGCAATTCCATATTTCAAGAATGGTCCCAAGGTATGGAATTCACATGCTTCATTTCTCAATAGCTTTAGCTGTGGATGATCTTTTAAAAGGTTTCTGCAAAATGAACTCTCTGAATTTGTGGACTGTTTTGAGTTTATTTAAAAGAAAGTGAAAAAGGTAAAATGAACTTCCTCATTTATAGGGGCTGGCTCGTTCTATGCCAACAAGTGGTGCACTTGATCGTGTAGCTGAAAAGCTCAATCTGCCATTTTTTGAGGTTCCTACTGGCTGGAAATTCTTTGGTAACCTTATGGATGCTGGGAAATTGTCGATATGTGGGGAGGAAAGTTTTGGAACTGGTTCTGACCATATCCGTGAGAAGGATGGCATATGGTAAGAGTCTACATTCACTTTTAGGCATAGTTAAGTGTGTCTGGTGCTCTTTTTCGTGGAGGGGATCCTAAATGAATAGATTCTATGTTTTTCTGGCCTGGATATATTATTTACTAACATAAATGATCAGAACGCTTGATTACTTTAGTAGTGGATTTGTTCAATTATTAATGTCCTCTAGCAGAGCATTTTAGCATTTCGTAAATTGGAAAAAAACCACCATTTAGTTCGTTTCTTTGATACTTTGTGGTTTTGCTCGTGTTCATACCATTTGTTAGTGGGACTTCAAAATAGTAAACTTCCTAGCAAGATGGTATCGTTTTATAGCCATGCTAACTATTACAATATGAAATGATTTGAGTCTTTCTCATGATAGGGCTGTGCTGGCTTGGCTTTCTATAATTGCATTCCGAAACAAAGACAAGAAAGTTGGGGAGAAGTTGATCTCAGTGTCAGATGTTGTGAGGGAACATTGGGCTACTTATGGAAGGAACGTTTTTTTAAGATATGACTATGAGGTAAGATTGATATGACCCTAAAGGTTTCGCTGTTTCATTCCTTCATATTTGAAAATGTTTGTTCAGGAATGTGAGTCTGAAGGCGCTAATAAGATGCTACATCACCTTAGAGAAGTCATCAGTAAGAGCAAGTCTGGTGACAAATATGGTAAGTTTATGGTTAAATTACTAGTCCAGTCCTGAAACCTTTAGGGTCATATCTATGTAGTGTTTACACTTTAAAAAGTTTCTATTTAAATCCTTAGACTTCGAAGATTGTATCTATCTAGTCTTAATAATAAGTTTTGAATAGGTCCTTCAACTTCAATTTGAATCTGATGGGTTCTTGCAAACTTCATCAATTTAACATTTATGTGGCACATTGATTGTATTTAAGGATTACATAGTTGGTAGATTTTGGACAAGTTCAGGCATTTTGTGACAGCTTTTTTGGAAATAGGTACATGTTAAATTCGAGAAAAATGAAGGCTAAAAATGGAAACTAATCTAAGCAGCCTCTCAACTTTAGGGATCAAAGATTACAAACATAAATAAATATTTCCAAATAACTTGCTATTTACCTAGAATGTCTTAATTTGACACTCATTTTCACCCCAGGTTTAATAGACGCAACTTTGAAAGTCAAGAGTCCAAAACTTATTAAACCGAAGTATATTTCAAGCATCTTGCAAGGTGTCGTTTGTCATTTTCCTATTGCTATGATTGTTTTTGCTATTACTTTTGCAGGGAGTTATATCCTCCAATTTGCGGATGACTTTTCATATACTGATCCCGTAAGTCTCTGTAATATAAAATTTTACTGTATTTTCTAGTCTCAACTCTTGCTTTCACAGCCTTAAATTTACCCATATCTGAACTTACTTAATTCAATGTTGAGCATGTTCAGGTTGATGGAAGTGTAGCATCAAAACAAGGCGTTCGTTTTGTTTTTTCAGATGGATCAAGGATAATATATCGTTTATCTGTATGTTCATCTTTTTCTTTTTCCTCTTCTTTCTTATCATGTGATCCATTATTGATAAATCTTATAAAAGTTTCTAAATAAATTCTTAGATACTAGATAACAAGAAATACAGAAGATCAACTACTTCCCTTTTTTTTTAATGGGATTACACAAATATTCCTTAAATCAAAGTCATTCCTTCAATAACCTTTTTAAGCTTCATGTTTTATAGGGAACAGGTTCAGCTGGAGCAACTGTAAGAATATACATTGAGCAGTTTGAACCGGACATTTCTGAACATGATGTGGATGCCCAGACATCTCTCAAACCATTAATAGGTTCGTTTAATGCCTTTATATAACAATAACCTTCTTCAATTATTTATTTTATTTATTTTCTTCCTTTTCGTTATGTTGTAGATTTGGCATTATGTTTGTCCAAGCTGGAGGAGTTCACTGGGAGGAAGAAACCTACAGTCATCACTTGAGGGGACAATCTCATTAATCTATACACTGGCCCAGACTCCACTAGATGGAGGTCGACCCTTCCATCCCTTGCCCTGTCTTGGGCCATGCTTGCTTATATTTCAATTTTGATTTATTTAGTTAATTTAGCTCTGCCGAATAATTAGCTTTTCCATGTAAAATTGGACAATTAAACAACTACATCAGAAATCAATAATATTTTCCATTTTTGTTATTCAATACTAATTTCCATATTCCTTTTGATTGAGATGTAGATGTTCTAAATGAACTTTTTCCACATTTCATATGAGAATGAAGTACTGTTTTTGGCATGGTAGTTTCATTGGTGAACTGTCACCTACCGAACCTTGTAGCTGAATCACATGATGTGCTTGTAGTCTTTACATGGACTGCTTTCATTTACAGACATCTTAGAAGGGTTAGAATGAGACTTTGGCTGGTTGGCATAAACCAACAATAAGGAGGTTATTCAGTTGGTGAAATAGTTCTAGGACTAGATTGCATCATATATCCATATCATACTAGTTGGTCAAATAATGTTGGACAAGTTTCTTGATACATTCATCCTAAAAGTTAAAACAAAAACCATTGCTTGAGAGCACAACAAGAACAAGTTCTTGTCATTCTAAAACATGACTTTTCCTCTGCATATATTAACAGTGACGGGATGTTGTGCTAGAAGACATGGAAAATTGGCAATTAATCCAGGCATGTATTTAGACCAGCTCTTTTACCTGTTTCTTCGAGCTGTTTGATTTTGCAAACTTTTCTATTTGACAGCAACGAAAAACGTAGAGATCAGGATTATGGCCTTATCTTGTAGGTTGGTATAATTACCAACTTTTGGACTACAGCACATCATTTTACTTGTCCCCTCATTTAGGGCTGAGCTTGAGACTGCTACCCATTGTGAAAATCATCAAATGGAAGGAAGCCATAATTTTGGAGTGATAGTTATAGGTAAAACTCCAAAATAACATGCGTTCTTGCCGTGGCCCTAGGGAAATGTAACTCTACAGTTCAAATTAAATTCTAGAGCTGGAACTTTTAATCCGTGGAAGCTAGTCAAGGGATGATTTGTATTGCAATAAAGTACTAGACAATATAAGCATTGTTGAATTGATTAGGCATATACCTTCGACTCAAGGTTGGAAGTTTAAAATTTTCCAATCCTAAAATGTCGTTCAACTCAGTAAAGTAGGTACTAGATCTCTCATAATGGACTCGGAAGTAGCAGATTCTTCCTATTAATGCTGACAGTGTAAATTTGAATGTCAAAGCACCTATAGATCCCAACTCAAGTGATAGTGCCCTAAGAGTTAAGTAATTGGAGAAAATTACTCACATTTAAAATACGTGAGGAGAATACGAAGTAATTATTATTTTTTATTTGTTGAATGAAGATTGATTATTAGGTTGACTATGTGTGTTCACAGGGAAGCTCCTTGATGGGTTTATTCAGTCGTGGTCCCCTAAAAACGAGAGCCTGAGAAAATGGCACAAAAAATGAGAGTTAGGGGACCCATTTGCTTCTGTTGAACTTAGTGTTGTTGGCTGCTGAAGAATAATAGTCCCAACATTTTGAGCATACTTTTGTAAGATATACTCCATTTTCGACCAACATGACGCATTATTTAAGTTGAAACTAAGCTAAGGGAACATACTTTTGATGTGATAACAATCTACTTTGGCCCTTTGTGCAAAAAACAGTATCAAAATTGGATTGTCTCTGCCCCCCATTTGTTACATAATCAAATATGCATATTTGTAAATTTTCCCGTAGGCAGACCCCACCAACCTTTGATGGGAAAGGAAAGCATAAAAAATTAAGAGCAATCCTTTAGTGGATAATGAAAGGAATTCAACTGTTTTTGTCCTAATTTGTCAGTAATTTGAAAGCCAAGCTAACATCCAACTTTGTTGGGTCTATCAGTTTGATGGCATTTTTCTCTTTAGAGGGAAACACATCTGTACTGGTTTTGATCTGCATGACATTGTGTGTGACAACTCCACCATCATGTTAGTTGCTTCATAGATGGACCTTGATGTGTCCTCCATCTCTTACTTTTCCACCAAATGTTCCCTGTCTTATAGTGACCAAGAATTAGGGTTTTGAGAAAAAGTTCAGATGATAAGCTTGCAACCATTTATTTATTTTTTATTCTTCAAGACAAATGTTGGATGGATATATTTTGTCTGGCAAAGTTCAGACTATATCATTCTGAATATTTTTTAATTTCTAGAGATCACTTACCCTAAAAATTTATGTTGCCTTTGTTTGCGGTTCCTTTAGATTTATATTACATTAGTAGTTTTTTTGCTTTTTTGCGAATTTATTCAATATTGTTAGAGTCCATGTCGATATTATGATCTATTAAGAATTTGTTTGAGGGTACTTTTGCCTAGACCAGAGCATTTCATACTCAAAATCATCTAGTTTAGTAGTAATTTATGTTATTGTGAGACCAAATATGGGATAACTCATAACATTCTATACCATAGAAACAATTCTAGGGACATAACTCAAAGGTCCCTAGAATAGTTTGGCAAATACTATCTTTTGGGTGGTGATGCAAAACTATTCTAGGGACCTTTGAGGCGTCGATGGCGATGATTTTTTATGATAGCAGCGATGGTGGGAGACCTCCTAACAGTAGTGGTGATGAACAAAACCCGAGACGAAGGTACAAACTTTCCCCTAATTGTTCATAAATTTATAATGACTTACCAAACCCTAATTGTTCTACTAAAGATCTAGCGACTGTGAGATCATATTATTGTGAGACCATATATGGAAGAATTCAATATCATTCTATACAGTAGAGCCAAATATATATACACATACATATAAAAGTACTACCTATAAAGAAGTCATGACTGTAGCCTTGTTTCCACTGAGGCCTAACTAGTCTACTGATCTACTAACTCCATTTGTTATATTTGACTTTACTAATGTGTGAAAGGTATCTTTAGCTCATAATGTCCATGATATGTTCGACTCCACTGTACTAAACAGGGTTCATTTGAGTCTCTTCTGATCTTATGATGGACATTAAGATTTGTTTTCAGGAGATCCTATTAGCAAGAACTATACATTGCTACAAACAGAAGTACATTTGTTCATGAAAACGCATAAGAAAATCGTCATGGGAAACATAAGAATGTACAAGTCTTCAAATCTGATGTGATTTCAGTGCTTAAGGTAGTGTTCCCACCATGCATTGAGTGCACCATTAGAGCATTTCACTGAGAATTGAAAGGACATATAACTGTTGGAACAAAATAGAAGCTCCCCCTTTTACTTTTGATCTTCTACAAGGGGAAAAAAGACGAAGAAAAAAAGGAGGAAGAAATTGGATTTGATTTGAGTGCTCCAACTCACATTTTTCCATTCTCTCTCTCTCCCCCCTCTGTATCAGATTTATGCTGTCACTGTATATTTGATTGTTTATCAGTGAAAGTGGCTTGATTTGCCTCAAACTATATCTTTGAAAAAGGATTCTACATGGAAGATCTTCATTGGAATAGGAAGGGCAAAAAAGGAGAAAAAAAAAAGAAGTGGAAATTTACAAAGTGACCCATCAAAGGGGGGCCTTTAGAAAAAGAAAAGAATAGAAGAGGGGGTATTTGTAATAAGGTAATAGTTTTGGTATATGAGAAATGAAATGGGGGGTTTGGTGGACAAAGTGGTGGTCAGTCAGTTTGCCCATTTCTTTACAAAATCTCTCAACTAAGGCAAAGGACCCCCAAGCACAATGATGGTTTTATTTGGAGCAGCCAAAAAGCAAGCCATCTTTTGTTGGATAATGATGGGTTTTGAACCATTGCTATTTTCTTAGCACTCTCTATTTGAGTAGACCATGATGAAAATGATTTGGTTACCAAGTCCAAAAGTAAAAATAATCTTCATGTTAATGCCTTCCTCCTTTGGAACGAGAGTAAAAACAAGGGTCTACCCTTTTGGTTCTCCCCGAAAAAAACGGTTCGTTTTTTGAACCCGGTTTGATTGCACACTTATTAATCTTTTACATTTTCTTTTGAACATATCTAACAAATCACAATTAAAGGTCACGTTGTGTGTCAATTCTTTTTCTTTCCCTATCCTTAGTCAACTGAAATTTTTTGAGTAGAGAGAACTTAGTTAGCGAAAGTAAAACTCTTGTGGCTTTTAAATAGCCTTAGGAAAGAAAAATCAATTAAAGGCAAAAGACAAACCCTAAAATAACCTAACTAAAAGATTTAACGAACGTGTATGGTTCATTAATATGGTGTCAATGTCAGCTAGTGAGATGATGGGGGATAAACTTCATCGTCAAAAGGGAAGCAGCTTTGATGACCTACTGTAGCTTAGATGACCTACTGTGAGATCCCACAGGGGAATGAAACATTCTTTCCTCTCCCTAGTAGACGCGTTTTAAAAACTGTGAGACGGACGGTGATACGTAATAGACTAAAGGGATAATATCTGCTAGTGGTGGCTTGGGCTGTTACACCAATTCTTTCCCTATCCTTAGTCAATTGATAAACTTTACGATATTCGTTGAGTAGAGAAAACTTGTTCTTGAGCCAAAGTAGAACTCCTGTGGCTTTTAAATAGCCTTGGAAAGAAAAATTAATTAAAGGCAAAAGACAAACCCTTAAGTAACATAATTAAAAGCTCTGACTAATGAGTGCATGGTTAATTAACATGAGGTCAAGGTCAGTGAGACAATAGGGTATAAACTTCATCGTCGAGAGGGAAGCAGCTCGAATGATCAACTGTGAGATCCCTCATCGGTTGGAGAGGGGAACAAACATTTCTTCCTCTCCCTAGTAGATGCGTTTTAAAACCGTGAGGCTGATGACGATGCGTAACGAGCCTAAGTGGACAATATCTGCTAGCAGTGAGCTTGGACCGTTACAAATGGTATTAGAGCCAGACATCGGGCGGTGTGCCAGCGAGGATGTTGGGCCTCCAAAGGGGTGGATTGTAATATCCCACATTGGTTTGGGGGGGGACGAAGCATTCTTATAAGGGTGTGGAAACCTTCCTCTAGCAGACGCGTTTTAAAACTGTGAGGCTGACGGCGATACGTAACAAGTTAAAACAGACAATATCTACTAGCGGTAACTTGTGCTGTTACACCAACTAAGGCCCTTAAAAGATTTTTATATATTTAAAAGCAATCTCCATAACAATGGTATTAAAAGGTTTGATTCCAATGTGCTATCCATCAATTCAATTAGAAGTAGAATATTTATCTTTACTCTATACCCAACAAGCCTCTATGTATCTCCACAATAATATGTTATTATTCATTTTAGACATAAACTTAACTTTCTTTTCGAACTTTTCGTTTTCACCTAAAATGTTTAGTACTTATGAAGATGGTTGTCCCTCGTGGTCCTCTTTTTTGTCCACTGCAAAACTTTGGTCGTAGTTCAAAGACTACATAGTTAGTCTCCTAATAGTTAGTGATTTGGACTATTACCAATTGTCTTGATGTGTATCACTTGTATAGTTCTCATGTTCAAACAGTTCACGACCACAAGTTATGTTCCTCCAAACTTTATATAGTGAGAGTTGACGTTTTGGGTTTAGGTAAGCAGTGACAGGGTTACTTGTTTGTATGTCTAGGTTCAAGGAATGCTTATTCATAGGTTGTTGGAAGCTCTAATTCAATTTTATTTGTAGTTTTTCAAAGATCACATGTAGTTATTCATACCAAAATCCATCTTCAAGCATTCAACATCTTTCAAAATTCCAAAGGGATACTTGAGAAGTTCTATTAACACTAAGCAAACCATTTTAATGCTCAAATGAAGTAGCTGATAGAACAAAGAGGGGAAA